GCAGGAGACCACTTTTGTGGTGGTCTTGCAAGCACCAGAACTGGTGGCCCGGCATCAGAGGGGGAAGGGATTTTACAGAGGGAACTTGTTAGCACCAGAGAGGAAAGAAGGACAATAACCTATTTGAGTCTGAGAAAAGTGGGGCAATCGGGGACTCGTTGTCTGCCAAAGCCTTTTCACTTCATAGTCATTGCCAGGACACATCAGAGCAACTATTCAGTTCTGCTGCAGCCCCAGCAAGGATCTGGGACACAGAGCAGCTGCAACTTCAAGGTACCTGAGTCAGTCATTAAGTACCTGCAATTTATCCAGGCTTTGCTGCATTTGCAAATTGGCAAGAAAAAATTGCAAGTTTTCTATGGTCCCCAAAGATTCTTGTTTGGTACTGGGCAGTGATGACTCCTTTCCTCTTGCTAGCCCCAGCTTTTGCTGGGGTCATGGAGGGGACCTGTCACTTGGGAGCTCAGAGCCTGTCCATCCCTGCAGGGCTCAGTCTGCGTGCAAGAGGGCTGGAATTCGGAGAAGTTGCAAATGCATTTCTGTCATTCTTCCTGCAGTATGGGGGCCACCACATTCAAGGGATGCCAGATCGAACCATCACTACATTTCCTACCAAAAACAAAGCATTGCTTTCGTACTTACCTTTCTCTCAGGGAAGAGCTGACTCCTGGAACTGGTGCGCTCGACACAAGACACATCTGCCTGCGGTTGTCTTGCCGGGAGCACAAATACTCCAGCAGACTGACTCAGCTGCTTCTTGATGGCCAAATGTGACTAGGACGTACAGAACAGCATCCTCTGAGGCATCTTGCATGTGGGATGGACACGTGTTCACTCCCCATCCTCATCCTCCTCCTCCTCCTCTTTCCCACCTGCCTGAAACCTTCAGACCCCAAAGCTCCATACCCTGCCGCATTCAGCACGCAGAGGGGTTGGTTCCAGCACCTTGTCTGAATCCCCACAGGAACAGCATGGCCCATGACCCTCCAGCAGTCACCCGTGCTTTATGGTTTAAAAGGTTGATCCGAAACTAATCCTGTTCTCCACAAAATGTCTTGGTGGAGGCCGTCAGCCAGGGGCCCAGGGAACCACTCTGCTTGCTAGCATGGCCTGGATAGCTGGCCCGGGTGGCAGGGGTGACATTGCTCTGGAACCAACACCATGCCCTACCTGGGCAATGTCTCTGCTGCTTTCAGCATCAGTGCTCCAGACTGAAGCCCCACACTCACTTTTCATGGACTGGGTGCAAAATGGTTCCTAAAACTTTCTGGTTCCTTGAACATAGGAAAAAGGGACCCACAAATCTGCATCTGCAAGTGGAAAGTGCTTGGAAGGAACAGAGGGAAGGAGGGAAAGAAAGGCAGGGCAAATATCTGAACTATGACTTCTGTTATCTCTGCAAAAGACTTTTTTCCTAACTTTCTTCTTACCTTAAAAAAATAAACAAAAGCAGGCAGCAGAACACTGGCTGTCAAGTTTTGACCCAGTTGCTTTGTGCAGCAGTACTGAAGAAAGGGAATTTTATGGTGTTACTAAACTCATCCAGCACACCCTCTACTAATCCAGTATGGGGCTACAGTCCCCCCTTTCTCTCCCCTGACAAGCTTTCCTCATTAGTTTCTGTCTTCACACCCCAGCTGACTTCTGCACCCTGATCTCCAAACAGTGACCTCATTGCCTTGTTCAGCTGGTGAGAAACTACAGTAAAATGGGAGAGGTAAATAAAGAGGGGAGGGGGGTGAACTAACGGACAGAAGATTTAGGAGGTAGGAGTCCGCTCCTCGCAATCCCGCTGCCATTGTGCACCCGAGCTTGAGAAAGTGCAAGCTGAGCCTGGACGAGCTCCTTTCTGTGCTGGTTCCTCTGGAAACTGGGCCCAGCCCTCCAGATGGTGCGCGTTGAGTGACTCAGGACAAGCAGCCTGCCAGCTACGTTCCCGCTGGTACCAGGCCCACGCTCCTGTCACCACCGCAAATCCCAGAGAGTCAGGGCTGGAAGCCACACACCCTCTGCAGCAAGAGCTCTTCATGCCCAGGCCAACAGGCTCGCCACAATATAAGTATTAAAAATGAGAGTGCGTGTACTGTTACAGAGTGAATTTGTGTCAGCTCTATGCAGCCAGCAGTGCAACTACTGGTAGTTCATGCTACAATGATGAGAGAAATAGCATTAACAGCACTTTGCCTACCAGAGGTATGCTCAGTATCGCTACACAATGCAGCCTTCCATATCCTTCTTTGGGACATGTCTCGAAGTGTCACCCCGTTCCTGACCCTGACAGATACCTCCAGGTCCTGGCCAGCAGCAGCTCCACTCGCATTTGTCTTCCCAGACACTCAGTAAACACCTTTGTGTTCTTTTTCTTTAGAGGAAGGGGTCTTGCTGAGCTCACCCTGAAATATATCACCCTGGACAAAAGGGCTGAAAGGTTAAGGAGCTCTGGGGGGGTGGCTCAGCAGAGAGCTGGGGCCGGGCGCCTGCCAGAACCAAGGCTATAAAGGCAAAGAGGGGCTGGGGACTGTGTCTGACGCAGATGCTGCAGGTCCTGCTGCTCCTCCCGCATGACAAGAAGATGCTGGGGCTCCAGTCATGGCCTTGCTCGCTTTGCCTTCTCTTAGTTCTGCTCTCCGCCAGCGTCCAGGCTGTGTCCTTGCCAGGACACAGGCTACAGGTAGGAGGGACTGGTAGAGAGCTGTGGGAGGTTTCAGGAGTGGAGAGGCAATTTGGGAAGTTATGCTCGAACCTGAAATGAGTGGGGATGCAAAGTTCCAGCTCCCACGGGCTGCTGTCTGCTCTCACTGCTCCCTCTCCTTCTTTCCAATACCCTCAGCTCTAGGGTGGCTGTATTTTTGTAGCCCAGCTCCCGAGGGGCATCAGCATGAGAAAGCAGCAGTCAGACAAAAGGTTTTTAAAGCTTTTTAGTGCT